GGAGTTGAATGGTCAGCTGGAATATGTATGTCTGCATATATATATATATGTGTGTGTGTATGTGTGTGTATGTCTGTGTGTATGTGCCTGTTTGCCAGGGCTGACAATGCGTAATGCATTTGTCATGCCAACAAGGCCAAGCAGGCACAAAAGCCCTTTCTTCTTAATCGAGGCCCACAGGGTAATGTGGTAATACAGATGGGGCCTGTCATGCTTTTCTGAAAAGCAAGATGAGGAGGAGGAGGAGGATGAGCAACATGAAGAGGTGGATGAGGGATTCATCTGGCCTCTGCGGGTGATGGTTTCTCTATTAGAGGTAGAAAATTGGGTTGATAGGTAGATGCAGGTAGGTGTTTAAGTTTCTTTCCACATTGATTAGAAGTTGGTTTCTTTTCAACTTTATTTTTCCGCTTTTGAGAGATGAAAGAGCAAAATAAACAGAAGTATAAAAAAGGAATAAACGGTACAGAAAATGAGAAAATATGTCTTGAATATTCTCTTTTACAGCAGCGTCTTCATTACTTATGCACCATCCCACATGAATCTGCCATGCGTTATTTGGACATATGTCAGGTTGGCTCAGCTTTTGTGATGTGGTGTGCTTGTTCAGAGACTCACCCTCACTTCCAGGGAGGGCGGATAAAAGATTTAGGGGGGTTGGAAACACTGGACTGTAGTTATTTCCCTCTGTAATCCACTGGTATATAAATCTAACTGAAAAAAATTGCTCAGTAGACCAAACTGACTGTCTGTCTAAAATATGAAGATTCAGAATGTCATCGTCTACCTTGATTATTTACTGTGGTGTAAATTAAGGACAATTCCCTTCAGGTTGTCCCAGTTTCCAAATGCTGCAGACCTGCAAAGCTGTAACAGATCAGCTTTCACTGCTGTGGTCTTTCAATTTTCTCCATTTCCACTGTAAATGGGTCCCACAGGAGGGACAGTGGTTCACACTGTCACCTAGGTTTCCTCTGGGTGTTTCCGCCCAATTTATCCAGAGCCATGCAGATGAGTTGGACTAGTCCATATTGCCCAAATGTGTGAATATTGTTTACCTCTGCCTGTCTTTGTCTGATGTTTAAGAGATGCTGAGTGGCCTGGGGTTTCCCAGTGCAGGCTAGAATATGCTTCAGCCCCTGTTTATCCTGACTGAACAATGAACCTTATGTAATTCTCCATAATTTGTACATTGTGATTATGTATTGTCCTGCGCGCCTTCGGTGCCAAGATTCCCCAGATGGACAATAACGATTTGATTCTGAGCCTGAATTTGGACTTGCTGCCCAATAATGGTGCCAGGCAGTACCCAAAAGAGGGTTAGAGATGCTATGCTATGACCAGACTATGTTAACAGGAAACCCTAATGTTAAAATTATTAAAAGCAGAAATCCACAGAAATACTCCTTCTAGGTGCAATGGTAGTGTGTCAAAATAATCCACCACAGAGACTTGGGTTCAGTTCCCAGTAGTGGCGCTTTCTGCGTGGTAGAGCGGTCAAATGAATCCAGCTTGCAGTGTTTGCGAATGGGAAGCCAGTGAGGGATTGGACCGTGTTGCTTCATTATTGAGTTGGTTAGTACAAGCTCTCCAACCTCCATGACATATGACCAGGAGGGACTGTGAGTAGACAGATATTTGTTTATAACGAATATGAAGTCGGAGAAAAATCTACAGCCATGCTAACATGCACAGTGACAATATTAACACTGATGGCTGATCGCTGGTTACGAGTCATCTTGAGGGGGACATGTCTGTAACAGAATTTACCAAACGAAGAGAAAGATATTTCAGTCTGGACCAAAGTGGTTAACCAACCATATAACATTGCCATCCATAGGGCCACGCTACTAATGTGGCTAAAATGTTGAGACAGTACATCTTCTTCTTTTTCAAGCCACAAAAAATTGTTGACCACCAGGTTCTTTGTATTAATATTACAGTATTGTTGCCTCATTATATCAGCGTCACACTGTTTTAAACTAGAGGCTGTATTTATGAATGAATAGAGATTTTAACTTAAAGATCACAATGAAGATATCTGTAGGCTGAACAACTAATTTCAGAAGTCTAACTGCATTGTTGTCCCTCATTGTCCAGTTGGTGGAGCAGAACATGCTGTTGGAAGGGAATCAACGCCTCCCAGCAGGCCTTCACTAACCGAAACTGCTTGCATCAGTAGCCCAGCACAGCGGGTCCCTGGGGACATAACACGCAGATGTGCACATATAAATACTTCAATTCTGCTACTCATATTGACATCACAGAGCACATACAATGGCAATGCTGATAATTTAACAATATAGAAAGTCTTCCGTGCCAATGAACCATAAAGAGCCATTGAAATGAATGTAACGTGGGTCATGGATTAATTCAGTAGCTCTTTCCCCAACATGTGACAGCTAACATGATTCGATTACATGCAAAGAGCTGTAGATAACCAAATAGTACTAATAGATTCCAATTAAAATACATTCCTTTTACAACTACACTGGGGTTTTATCAACATGTACTTGTGCTGGGAAGATTTACTTGAATATTTTTTCCCAGCTTCAACCTTTTTATATTCATTGTGCCGCCGACATTCATACCTGAAAGCTGTTCTGTAAAACTACACTCTTCTTGTTTGGTAGAGAGCAGATGGACTGAGCAAGGTCAGGGGTTAAGCACACTGCTCAGAGGCACCTTTTCTTCAGGGAAGGAGGAGTATAAACATTTGAAGTTGAGCATAAATTTTAAGTTTTTTTTAGCAATCTTGTATTACACTGAAGCTGCACTGGTATCTAAAAAGGCCAAGGCAGCAACACACTTCAGTGTAACACTATGGAAACTAATAATTTAGTTGTACATTGCAGATAAAAGAGGAAGGAAGATTTGACTTGACAAAATAATGGATCTATAACCTCTAATGTGTGCATACAAACCCAGCACAACACTCACACAAGAGTGCACACAAGACTCCGCTTCCCAAAGAGGTTTTTTTGACAACACACCACTTGGCAGAACCCAGCTAGGCTTCACGTCTGCCCGTCACAATCCTGCAAAATAATAGAAAGTAACAAACACTATCTCGCAGAGGTAGACGTACAAGAGCTCTCACACATGCACTGTGCTTAACCTCATAATGTGTGCTGTAACCAAAACAGCTCAACCTGCATTTTTACACCATTGTCTGAACGAGGCTCTGCGGTTGTTGTGTTCAGTAGCAGCCTGAAGAATGAAGAATTGTGTTTCTGTGTGCGAGACAGAATGTGTATGTGTGTCTTAGTCAATCAGAGCAGTGAATAGCTGCACTTATAGGCTGCAGTGTCCTGTGGTGTAAAGAGTAAGCGAGAAAATGGTGCATGGGAGGAATTTTCAAGCTGGCTTCAATGGAGCCTGTGATATCGTGAAACAGATTAACCCTTGTTTGGTATTACATTTGCGAACCCATTAAAGGGTAGGTTCACATTTTTCAAGCCTGTCTTATAGGAGATGGTTCAGGTTTTTTTTTTTTTTTTGAAGTGGGGTTGTATGAGGTACTCAAACCCAGTCTGAGAAGCAGATGGGAGTACCGACACAGAAGCTAAGTAATGTACTGCTGTAGACGGGGTCAGCAAAAAAAAAAAAAACGTATTTTAGCCGTCTAAACAAATCTATCAGTTTAAGTGTACACTATATTTAGAATATTTTTACCACTTTACTTTGCCATCAGACAGCTCTTTCCAGCAGCGAACAGAAGCCACTATATTGCTCCCTTCAAAGCCACCAGACTCCTTTTGACAAAAACAGTCATTTTACCCCCCAGAACACAAGAGTTACCTTGATCGGTTAATTTGTGTTTGGTGTGAACTCATATAAACTACAGAAATGACAGAAAGGAGTAAAAAGATGCCAGGCATAACTTAACAACTTGAGTTAAACTATCATTCTCCGGCTGAGCTATATCAGTGCACTGAAGAGAGAGAGAAGGGGAAACAAAATGGTGGAAAGCTGGGCTCATTAAGTTAACTCACAGGAAATCATTAGCAAAAGGGTAAGACCACGAGCCAACAGCTGTCCCTCATTCTATCATTTTGTAAAGCATCTCTTTTTAAGAAAATGAACGCAAACATAGGCAGCAGCACTTTGATGTATGAGGTTCCATTTAAAGCCACTAACGTCAACCTTATGGTGGCACTAGAGAAAATGTCAGGGGATCACCAAAGCCAGTAGGGGATCATGAATGTCAGCGGTGGACCGACCATCACACACTGACATTACCATCTGTAAAGTTATGCTGCCAGTGTGGGCCAAAAATGATCTCAAGTAAGGTAGTTACTCATGTTAATCATCACCTGAGAGGTTTGAGCGTGTGTGTGTGTGTGTGTGTGTGTGTGTGTGTGTGTGTGTGTGTGTGTGTGTGTGTGTGTGTGTGTGTGTGTGTGTGTGTGTGTGTGTGTGTGTGTGTGTGTGTGTGTGTTACTTAGGGATTTAAATGAGGTAGTGAGAAGTCTTTTTTTTTTTTTTTTTCCTTCTGTTTTACAGTAATGAGACAAAGAAACGCATTTAGGTCTGGTATCATTCCACATTTAATGCTCCAGTTTTTGCTTCCTAGAACCAACCCCGAGTGTTGTTGCCAAGCAAAAACTAGCCAAGATTCTTACATACTGACTGGAAATGCTATTAATTGCCATGGTAACGCAGTAACTGCTCCAGGAAGCACGGTGGAGCTTTTCTGATTTCAAAAGTGGATCTTTCCTCTGTGGATGGATAGATGGATGGCTCTGCCTTCATCAAAAGGGAAATAGACTCGTTTTATCTGTCAAGGTGACATTGAGTGATGATAACCGTTGTTTTAAACTAGATTATGAATTTGATTTGGCCGCGAACACACATGCAGGGCTCAGTCACACATAACTGCGGGATGAAAACACTGACAAATGACAAATAAAGAAGAATGATTGTATGTATAAATCTCACATGTCCCACCTACAATATGTGCAGCTATCACTCACTCTTCTTCCTTCTGGCTCTTGCAGTGAAACCGACAGTCATCGATGTGGGCATATATGTCAACAGCATCGGGCCTGTGTCATCCATCGATATGGTGAGTTAAAGCGCTCTCTCTCTCTCTCTCTCTCTCTCTCTCTCTCTCTCTCTCTCTCTCTCTCTCTCTCTCTCTCTCTCTCTCTCCCTTTCTCCCCACACACACACTTGTCCATTGTCCGACATTAGCATCATCGTACATGAGCGCTGCCATCGCTCACGCTGTATTTGGAGGTCGTGTGGGCCACCGCAGCTGTTTCTGTGGCGAAGGAAGCCAGGAAAGACAGGTGTGGACGCTTTGTTCACGTCTCGTGGATCAGCTTGGATTAAGCAAATGAGTGAGTTTAAAAACCCAGATGAGTAATAAAAATTCTGCTATGAAAGCTATCGAGTTAGACAGCAGTGTCTCTATGGAGGGAGAATACCACCTCCTCAGCACAACAAAGTCTTATTTTCTTCCAGTTTTTCTGCTTTTTTTTTAGCTTTATTTAGTAACTGGATCCTTTGCACCAGCATGGTAATTCCCATAACAAAGTTTGACTAGAAGGAAAAAATGGTTTTGGAAAGACTCCAGGACATGGATCAATGCATATTTCATTATGGGAGGCCTGATCAGATGCCATAAAACATGAAATGCAGAAAGTGAAAGCTTCATGAGCTGTAATGAGAAAATAGCTACTTTTCAGACAACTAAAAGCATAAGCAGTCTGTTGTTTGGCCTTGAATAGAGTACGGCAGCCTAAATGGATGCAGCCGTTCATTATGTATAATGCAAAGTGCCCGTTCAACTGCTGTCAATACACTCAACTGTGATATTAATTTTTCTTCTCAAAAAAAGAAAATTCTCTCTCAAAACATCACAAATGTATTGCTTTGCAAATATTAAATGAGCTTGACGTGATAGCGTTTTATCTCTGAACTCACCAGATCGCCAGATGTTGAGTTGTGACGGTTGCCTGGCAACTTTAAATATTCGAGATATAAAAGCAATTTAGATTTTTTTCTTTTTTTTTTTTCTTTACTGTCAGCACTACCCTGCAACTTATATTATTCAAGACAACATCTGCTCATTCCAAATTAAATTAAAAGAATAATATATTATTCCATGGACTAATGTGCTGCACTGAATGTCATTCCTGTACTTTCAGTGTATGCTGTGCATGTCTTTGCAATTCAATGTTATTATTACTGTTATTTGCCAGAAAGGAATTAATTTAATCTGTAAAAAGTAATAATAAAGATAAGATAAAGGTTTGGCCTTTTTTCAGGGCTTTTTTATTGCCTTTAATTGATAGAGACAGCTGGAGGTGGACAGGAGTGGGGGGCAGAGAGATAGGGGGTTACACCCAGCAGAGGGCCGCAGGCCGGACTCGAGCCCCGGGCCACTGCAGCAGGGACTCAGCCTTGGTACATGGGACGCCAGCTCTACCAACTGAGCTAACCAGGCGCCCCAGGTTTGGCATTTTAAATGAGTGCAACTGTACACAATTGTCCCGCATTAACCCTATTAATTAGTGAGAGGGCCACTGAGAGAGCAGGACTACCCTACTTTTTTTTGGGAAAAAATAATAAGCTTAATTTGAAGTGCTTCACAACACTTCACACATCCATCACCAGCAGATCTGGTGATGGATTTTAAGTGCGGCTGTAATTAAAGTAAAATAACACTCAAGTTGTAGACTTCAGAGTCAACAGAGCTCTACTGGTGTAAAGTCTGAGTATATGCAGTTGCTTGCGTATCATCTATGTAACAGTGTACATCATGTCTGATTATGGGCCACAAAGGAAGCATCTATGATGAAAAGTAGGGGTTCAAGGACTGAGCCATGGGGTACGCCTTTTGTTGAGAGGGGCAGATTCTTTGATTTTTAACATTAAGTGTAAAAGCCCTGAAAATCTTATTGTGTAACTCATAACTGACTACAATGGATCGCATCCTACACACAATTTTCTGCCAAATTTTAATACAGTTGGTGATTTCACGTCATTGGACGAAGCTCAGTTGGAAAAAGGTCAAAATCTACATCAGATCAAACCACACCCCAAACAGTCCAGATGAAACAGCTTATCTGAGCTGTTAAACTCTCACGATACATGCATTTTTCTCTACTTAATTATGTTTTTTTCTTGTTGTTGAGCCTTACATATTCCTGCAGCACAAAAGCACAACAGGTACTGCATGAGTTAAAGAACCAGTAAAGTAGAAGTACGTATTGAAATAGCTCTTGAAATTACATGCATTGTGATGAAATGCATCCTCAGTTTCAAAGAAGCCCCAGTTTCGAAACTGTTTGCAGAACTGTGTGTTGTTTCAAGATGTCCTTGTTTCTATTTATAACTGCAACTATCTATGCAAATGATGTTTATTCATTTATTTTAAGTGAGGAAACCTTATCATTTTTACATTTTGCTGTTATACTGCAATCGTCCATCTTTACAAATCATCTAGACTCTTTGGCTTAGGTTAAAATGTGAGCGGAAGAGTGCAGCTTCTTCAATACAGGAAAACTCCACACACACACACACACACACACACACACACACACACACACACACACTCGGAGTAATATAGTTGTGAATTAAAAACTCTTGCAGCCTGTAGTAGGTCAGTGAGGCATGGCCTGGCTGGGTTCGCTGTGGGAGCCTGAACTTTGTTTCAGGGGAGAGTAGGATCCCGCTGTGACATTCCAGTGATTGTCCTCCTGTGTAAGCGCTGATTGGCTTCACCCTGTCAGGGCCGATGGACGCTGGTCAGTGGAATGTGAATCCCCGGCCGCCCCCGGGGTTGACTGGACTGGAATTAGAGCAAAGTCACAACTCTTTTATCTCCCTCTCTCACTCTCTGTCCGTCTCTGTGTTTCTTCCCCTTTTTATCCATTTCTCTGTGGAAATGTTAGTGTCACAGAGAAAACAACTGATTTCTTCAATGTGGCCTATTTTCCTTTTTGTTTTCACACAGCACTGCATTCTTCCCTTTTCTTCAATCCAATCCATCATTCGGCCTGAAACCTCCATTTAGCCTGTTCGCTCCCTCTGAACTTCATGGATGTGTATCCGTGTGTGTGTGAGCCACTTCCACATGAAAAAAACCAGGTCAAATCCCTGGGGTCTATCAGATGCATGATCCGTATTGATTATATACACACAGCGCAACTGTCTCCGCTGCTATGACGTAGTCTGCGACCAAACTCAGGGAAGCTTCTCCATCCGCCTTTTGAACAAAACACATTATCTTTCCTCATTTGCTGCAACGGTAATGGGCACTGGCTGGGATGATGCAATGCCAAATGAAGCTGATAGTAATTTAGGACATACTGTGATGAATGGTTGAGTGATTAAACGGCATTAGCGGCATTAAAGTCAAGCGAAAGTGCCGGGCTTTTATAGCTGGTGCTGGGAGAGTCAGATAACGCAGCCGGGTAAATTGACAGACAAAGATGGACGCACTCTGACATCGACACTATGTTCTCGGCGTCTGTGCTCGAGCCAGTGAGTGGGTGGCGTCTTGAATTTTGCCGCTCTGTTGCTGAGCCTGCCAGTGTGCATCAGGCAGGCGTAGAAATTATGGGACCACCTGCTCTGGCCATGAAATAGACTGCCTGTGTGAAACCAAGTGAAAGACATGATACTAAACCCACCTGAGGAATGAAATGGAGGAGCCACATGAAAGATGTTCGAGAGATAGCATGTGTGTCAAAGAAAGGTGGTTTTATCTCCGCTGATGATCGGCTGAAGGCTGGTAAAAAGATACATATAGAGCTGGTTTTAGTATAATCTGTTTACCTAAATACTGTCATATTTTAAGGAATTGAGAATTATATATAATTGAAATATCAGCTTCAACCCTAAAGACTACCACGTGTAATGATTATTTCTATTGTCTATCCAATACTTATTCTATTAAATAACAGTGAAAAATCCCAGTTGCCCAGACCCTAAGGTGTGGTGCTCAAAAAATGTATCCGCAGATGGAAATAGTCCCAAACAGAAACGTTACAGTAACAGTAAACTTGGCGAAAGAACTACAGTGACTAACTGTTTTTTCTTTTCTAAAGGAGGAACTTCAATCATTTTTAAAGATTTACATCTTCAGTAGCCAATTGATAGGAACCACAGAGTGCCAATATACAAGCTGGGGCAGTCTGAGTATTCAGAGACACAGTCTTGGTTTCAGTGTTTAAACAGAATTTTATTGGCAATAAACAAAATATAGATTAACACCAGACTTATCCTTGACCAAGTGCTGAGTCGCCAAAATATTACCATAAATAAATGTGATAACAAGTTAATTTTCTCGATAACGAAACTTTGTTTTCCCGTGATAACGAGTTAATTAATTTGAGATCTCGAGATAATGACTGTGATATGATAACTGCGGTCAAGCCAGCCGTTACTCCGATCTCCGTGGTCAAATCAGCCGCACTTAAATTTACAGCGTATTCATTTCCGGTTTTCAAAATAAAGGTATTAACAACAGTAAGCTGTAATTTGAACCTAAATTTAAAATAAAATAATGTTACATTAAAGAGTTTCCATGATGAATAAAAAACATACTTAATATCAAGCATTTCTACTGCAACAATGTGGAGGAATGCCAAAACAAAAGTTCCATATTTGTACCTCCAAGTGGCATCTTTTCTCATATTTGAGGTACTGTAAAATCATATTGCTCAATAATTACTGGCTATGCATGGTATATTTGACTTCTACACATATAAGAATACAAGTATACTTAATATCAAGCATTTTTACTGCAACAATGTGGAGAAATGCCAAAACAAAAGTTCCATATTTGTATCTCCAACTGTCATATTTTCATATATTTTGAGGTACTGTAAAAGCAGGTACAAATGTGGAATTTTATTGTTGAATTTCTCCACATTGGTGCAGTAGAAGTGCTTGATATTAAGTATGGTTTTTTTTTTTTTTATTCATCATGGGCGCATGAAACACTTTAATGTAACATATTTTATTTTACATTTTATTTTATAGCTTACTGTTCTTAATACCTTTTTTTTATTTTGAAAACCGGAAGTGAATACGCTGTAAATTTAAGTGCGG